GCGATTAATCTGATGCATTAAGCCTTCTTTCCAGCTCCTGAAGTCCTACCCAATGGAAGAGCTCTACCTAGAGGGCACCCAAAAAAAAAATCCTGATTGGACAATTATCTAAAACTTAAGTATGACTACAAAATTGTGTTTAAATACAACAAGCACTATGATTCTGTTAAACAAAACATGCAATTTTTAGATCCCAGAACTCATTAGTTCTGGGAACTAAAGGCCTAGAAGACCCTAAATGTTCTCCCCTGAAAGCTAGAGAAGTATGGAATGGTAATACAGGATGTAGGCAGGTTCTAGAGAAGTGGCAGTAGATTACAAGCAGACTGTTTTCTTTCGCTCTGCATGCACACACTTGCATACCCACATGGAATTGCGAAAATAAGACTGCAATTAATTTAATGAACCATTCCATTGTTAATTGAATGAAATGTGAAAATACATCTTGGTTTGCGTTGGATAGCATTACCTTTCTGTAGTTCAGTGAATTCAAAAAGCGATTAAGTCAGCCGCAGCTTCACTAACCTTACCTACTGTTCATTGATTAGGTGACGTTAAAATATTGCACATGCTCAGCATCACTTATCGCGCTTGGCATCAGTTTACTAGCTCTTTGCCAGCTGGCTGTTTTCCAGCTGAAAGATACAAGCTGAAAAAAGCTAAACTCTTAAAAAAGATGGTTCTTCAAGGGTTTTTAGTAAAGAAAATGGTTCTATATACAATCACGAACCCTCAAAGAAACCTTAGCATGATTAAAGGGTTCTTTACATCATAAAATGGTTCTTCAGATTGAGGGAGAATGTGCTGTAGATGAAAATGGTACTATTTAGTACCCAAAAGAGCTCTTCTACTGTTATGATGTCAAACTTGTAACAATAGAAGGACCCTATTAGGTGCTATATAGAACCATTTTCAAAAAAGTTTAATACAGAAGCATTTATAGCACATTTAAGCACATTTTCCATCAGTCTGAAGAACGCTTTCATGATGCAAAGAACCTTATTATCATGCAAAGTGTTTGAGTGTTCATGGTTCTAGAACCATTTTCTTTATTAAAGAACCCTTGAAGAACTTGAAGATCTTTTTTTTTAAGAGTGTAGAACAGTAACCATGGGTGCCAACTTGGGTTTAATATTGAAGGGGACAAAAAAAACTATAGAATTTTGAATGAATGTCCTGATCTGATGACAGTAGGTTTAATTTGGGGGACAGTCATTGAAGTGAGAGCAGGAAACTCGGGTCAAAACATGCAGATGATGAAGAAGTGGAGAACCCCAGTTTGAACATCGGAAAAAAAGAGAAACATAAGCGATTTCACAGCATGTCGAGATCATGCGTACGAGTTTCCAGTTTATGTCAGGGACTGATTGGCTGCAGAGAGTGAAAATGCCATTCTGTGCGACAATGTTTTGATCTACTGTAAGTATCTGTGGTGCAACAGCAGTTCTTTGTCGGTAGTTTTAAACTAACTCCTCTCAAAATAAGGTTTTGTGGAACTTTACACCCCAACTTACAATTAAACTTGTGCTAAGCTGGTGCAACTGGCTACTGGTCATCAGACTTGCTAGATACCAGTTCTGAAGCTCAAAATCACTGTCCACATGCGTGAGACCAGCGTTTTGAAAAAGATGTTACATTTTACTCCTCCATGCAAAATAACTCAGAAAGTGAAGGTTGAATGTTGTCCAATGTGGAGAAGGTTTTCCCAAAGGTAAACTTTCGCCTAAAATGCTGTTATTGATTTGACAGAAGGTCAAAATATAGAGAGATGTTTTCAAAACTTGGCCGTAGTAACAGAACAGCAGAATTTCACGCTGCAGTTTCAAAATAGGACTCGAGTCAATATTGTTTATTTTTTTGTTCAGTACATTGAAACAGAGCTAGCTACAATGCAATGACGTGTTATCTAGACTTTATCGGTTTTACTCACCATGCTGAGCTTGGATGTAATGTACATTCTGCTGTCATGTCAAGTGAACACAGTTTTACAGAATGTCTCCATATTTTTGACCTGCACTGCACTCACCACTATCTGTAATTCTTTTCAATGAAGTGATGAACATCAGATGGGAAGTGTAAGCGTTGTCAAGCCAACTAATCCATGGCAACTTTTTACTGCCATTGTTATCAATTCATTCAATTCACCTCTGCAGCCTAATGTGAACTGCTAACATTGGAAAACACTGCAACGTTGTTTACACTAAAAAAAAAGTTTTCCAGTCCTTGTTATGCTTACGCTGAGCCATCTTAATCCGATCATTACTACTTACCGCATAATACGGCCAGATTATTGTGTCGTTTTATGATGCCCTACAGAAATGCTGGTCTACTCACACTTTATTCTGAGAGAGCTTATCCGTAATAAGGTGATGGAGCCAGAACAGGCCGCTTCAGGCAATATGGATGTGGTTTCTATGATGTAATACGGATTGTAACTCAGATTTCACAGTGTACTGCTCGGCTACTCGTTGTGTGAGGTCTAAAACACCCTGCATCATATGCATGTATGGAAGAGATTTGTATGTGTGTGATAAAACTGTATACCTTATGAAACAGATAAGGGTAAAATGTGTACATTTTCTATGTTGTACGTCACTTTGGATAAAAGCAAACGTATTTACGTCCACAGATCTGCACTGAAGTTAGGCTTAACAGTTCTTATCATTACTGCCCTGTGTTTATAGACGTGTGTGTGTCCTTGCTAAGCGTAAGCAGATAAGACTGAACAGATTACTGCCAGTGCTTTAGAACTGGCCTGGAACGCGTATCTAGATGAACCGTGGTAATCTGTACTTTGAATCAATGCCCTGAGAGAACTATACACACGTGTCTTTTCCAGCCTGATGGAGCAGAGGCTGAGTGGGCAACATATACACTTCAACCTACACATACACAGTACCTATACGGAGGCTTGGAATCACTGTTTTCAATAATGCAAATCTATTTTTTTAGCAGATACAACTAGAAGGAGAAAGTCAACAAACTAAGTTGGCTTACAACAACACTATTGCTATGGTATCCCAGATGGTTGCTAAGGTGTTGCGATGGTATCCCAGGTGGTTGCTAAGATACTGCTAGAATTTTGCTATGGTATCCCAGGTGGTTGCTAAGGTGTTGTTATAGTATCTGAGGTGGTTGCTAAGGTGTTGCTATGATATCCCAGGTGGTTGCTAAGGTGTCGCTATGTCATCCCTGGTGGTTGCTAAGGTGTTGTTATGGTATCTCAGGTGGTTGCTAAGGTGCCACTTTGATATCCCAGGTGGTTGCTAAGGTATCGTTATGGTATCCCAGTTGGTTGCGAAGGTGCTGCTAGAATAATGCTATGGTATCCCGGGTGGTTGCAAAATTGTGGCTATGGTATCCCAGGTGGTTGCTAAGGTGTTGCTGTGGCATCCCAGGTAGTTGCTGCTATTGTATCTCTGGTGGTTGCTAGGGTGTTACTATGATATCCTAGGTGGTTGCTAAGGTGTTGCTATGTCATCCCTGGTGGTTGCTAAGATGTTGTTATTATATCACAGGTGGTTGCTAAAGTGTTGCTATGGCATCCCAGGTGGTTGCCAAGGTGCTGCTAGGATATTGCTATGGTATCCCAGATGGTTGCTAAAGTGTTGCTATGGCATCCCAGGTGTTTGCTAAGGTGTTGCTAGAAAATTGCTGTGGTATCCGAGGTGGTTGCTAAGGTGTTGCTATGTTATCACAGGCAGTTGCTAAGGTGTTGATATGGTATGCCAGGTGATAGCTAAATTATCGCTTTGGTATCCCAGTTGGTTGCTAAGGTGCTGCTAGAATAGTGCTATGGTATCCCAGGTGGTTGCTAAGGTGCTGCTAGGATATATTGCTATGGTATACCTGGTGGTTGCTAAGGTGTTCCTATAGTATCCCTGGTGGTTACTGAGGTGTTCCTATGGTATCTCAAGTGGTTGCTAAGGTGCTGCTAAGATAATACTATGGTATACCTGGTAGTTGCTAAAATGTTCCTACAGTATTCCAGGTAGTTGCTAAGGTATTGCTATGTTATTTTAAGCGGTTGCTAAGGTGTTGCTATGGTATCCCAGGTGGTTGCCAAGATGTTGCTAGGTCACTGATATGGAATCTGAGGTGGTTGCTGAGCGTCCTACCTTCAACAATGATTATCCACATTAATATCCAGAATGCCTGATATTTCAAAAGTGGTGATCAAATCTCACCATTACCTCTTAGTGGCGAATATATAAATCCACACTGTATAACTTATTGTTCAATAGAATAACAACAAGATAATAAGTACACAATGATTCAACCATTTGGAATGACAACTTTTATAAAGCATAAAAGCAATATTTTTGGACACGTGATGCTCTAAAACATATCATATAATTTGTAGGAAGCTGTAAAATATCTAGAAATGTTATATTATTTATAGTATATTATTTATCATTTAGTAACAGTTTGGTGTTCCCCAAAAATTACTGAATAAAAATCCTGAACATTTTTAGCCTAGCTAGTACACTTTTAAAAATGATGGTTCTTCAAGGCCTCTTTAGTAAGGAAAACGGTTCACTCAAAGAACCGTTTGAATGATTAAAATGTTCTTTTCATCGTGGTTCTTCAGATCGATGGAGAATGTGTGAATCTGTAGATGGTTCTATATAGAACCTTTTTAAAAAGAGTTCTATATAACACCCAAAATGGTTCTTCCATTGTAACAAGCTTGGCATTGTAACAATAGAAGAACCCTTTTTGGTGCTATATTGAATTCTTTTTAAAAAGGTTCTATAAAGACCCATCTACAGCACATTCTTCATCAAGCTGAAGAACCCTTTCTTACAATGCAAAGAACCGTTTAATCATGCAATATGAACCATCTATATAGAACCATTTTCTTTACTAAAGAACCCTTGAAGAACCTTTTTTAAGAGTGTATTTCAATGTTATTACTGAATAAAGTAACAATATTATGAAGATCACAAGACTTTGAACAGTGTTGCACATTAATGAAAGAAAGACAGGTGGACACATACCCGTGAGGGGTCGTACTCCTGGACTCTGTGGCCAGCCCCTGATTCAGCATAAGATGGAGCAGGCTTTAAATGCTGCAGCTGGCTTCGAATCTGCTGCAGACGAGCTTCATTACTGCAACAAGGACAGAGAGGACAGGTGAGTGTTTGGACACCAAAGTATAAGCAAAAACTGACCACACTTTAACAAGTAGCCTCTTTACAATATAAAAAAACAGAAAATGTAACTGAATAACAATGACAAAAACCATGTATGCCTATAATGCATTTGTTCACACATGAACGTAATTTATGGACAAAAATAGATTCAGATTTATTGGTCCACATCACTGGTCAGCATCTGGCACTGACAAAATAGTGTGTGTGGTGCTGGTGTGAGTGCATCAGCGTTTTTACACATGTCACTTCTAGGTTGAAAGAGGACCACCACCCAAAAATATCCAGCCAAGAGCAACTCTGCGGTCAGAAACTGAGCATTGCTGAAAGGCCAGAGGATGGCTAACACAAACTGTGCATCAACAGATGAGCTACTGTTCATCAGCAAGGTGGAGCTCAAAGGTTGGCCAGTGGATTCAGTCAGATTTGGGATATGTAAACACAGTCATATTAAAAGTTTGTGCAGAAACGCCTTCACCTTCATAATCTGAGCTCATTTTTTTCATTGTAGCTATTCATCTATATAATAAATGGTCAAATTTCATGTACTTTAGCTTCAGCATGCTTTATCAAGCTTATTGCACTAAGAAGGTTTAAAGGTTTAAAGGTTTTCACTACTTTCTGTATTCTAATGCTTATTTTCTAACTTTAGTATATGCTACATGGAATAAACTACAGTCAAATGAAGCACACAAGACTATGTAAACACACTTGCACAGAAAGCGACCTCAGAGCATGAATTGATTCAAAGCTGCCTTGAGCGCTCCCTTTAAAACCGTGCTTGAATATTAATGATCGATTTACTAAACTCAAATGTCCATTTTGGAATTCACATTCAAGTTGAATGTCTCTGATTGTGTGCGGCTCGCTACTCGCTATTACTAGGTCACTTCACAAGCACATGTATTCACAAAAAACAGTTGCTTGTAAAAGTTTGGTTCTGGCCACATTAGATGTTTTGTTGAATAATAAAAGAAAAACACATTTCTGATAATGTTCATGCACAGTTATGTTACATTTGGTTGCCTCAAAGGCTTAAAAGGCCAGGGCCCACCGGCAGGCCATTACACCCTTCTATAACCTAAGAATAGCTCAGCCAGTTTGCATTGAAGTCCCTGTAGTTACTGAGTAATAAGCCTTAGTATGTAATAAGCCTGGGGTTTTAAAGGGTTAAAAAAGCTGCTGTGAAGTTAATTGATGCCTACAGAGCAGGGGACGGCTAAAAAGATATCAAAGTGCTTTAAGCTTGTAATTCCCATTGTGCAAAATGTCAAAGCTATGACAGTTAAGGGAAACTGTGGAAATGAACAGCAATACAAAACTGCACCCGTGAAAATGTCAGTCCTCCCTATATTTTGTTTTGGCCTACCCTAGACAGTGACCACCCACACAACTTGGGTTGCACAATTTAAGGCGGAACAGAAAAATTCAGACAAGCTAAGGTGCCAGAATGTATTCTTAACTGCTGCACCTATTAAGGTGGAACAGGAAAATTCAAACCAGACGCTGAGATGCGAGAATGTAGTCTGGTTGCTGCAGCTTTTAAGGTGGAACGGGAAAATCGAACAAGAACTTGAGGTGCTAGAATGTAGTCTAGCTGCTGCACCTTTTAAGGTGGAACAGGAAAATTCGAACAAGAAGCTGAGGGACTGGAATGTAGTCTAGCCACTGCACCATTTAAAGCAGAACGGGAACATTCGAACAAGAAGCTGAGGCATCAGAATGTAGTCTTAGCTGCTGCACCTTTTAAGGCAGAATGGAAAAATTCAAACAAGAAGCTGAGGCGCCGGACTGTAGTCTTAACTGCTGAACCTTTTAAAGTGGAATAGGAAATTTCGAACAACAAGCTGAGGAGCCAGAATGTAGTCTTAACTGCTGCACTTTTAAAGGTGGAACAGGACATTTCGAACAAGAAGCTGGTGAAAAAGAAGCTGACTTAAGCTTCACTGAGCATTGAAATACATGAAAAGGGATGAGGAGGTCGCTCCGGCTGGATGAGTGGGGATCATTAACTCATTTTTGCTGTTTCGCAGAATCAATAGGTCAGTACTGTTTTGTCCTGTTTGCGAATGTTTGTGATAGAACTCGTTTACAGTAGAAACTGTGGTGACAGTTTGCTAACCCACTACCTAGCTAACGTTAGTTACGTTACTTGCCGTGTCACTGTTCACTCTAACGTTAACTGTAAACGGTTGGAAATTGTGTTCTTAAGTTCATAATCAATGAGCATGATGCTTGTGCATTAGTGCAACATGCAAGGAAAAACAACTATTTTAGGGTGATTGAAAATTTTAGCAAGGTTGCAGTGCATAAGCCCCTCATTACAACGACATTGTACAACTGCAGTTAAAGCAACAGGCACAGAGATTTGGAAAAAAGAGACATGGTCACATGAGTTATCGCCATGTTCTCCACAAGTGGGCGAGTGCATGTGCATATCAAGAGAACGGTACAGGTCTGAATGCTTGACCTTTACAGTGAGGGCATCTGGAGGCTGTGGGAAACATTTTACAGGCATGGTCCACTTATTCCCACAGAGGAAAGGGTCAGTGCAAAACAATACAGTTATTCTGACCCTTAACCTTTTTCTATCCTGACTACAGTCTCTTCTGGAATTACAACGTCTCCATCCACAGGGTACGAGGGGTCTCTGATTGGCTTTGTGAGTTTGAAAATGATGTAGGTCATATGCTATGGCCTTCGCAGTCACCAGATCCCAACCCAGTTGAACACCTTTGGAAGATTTTGGACCGATCTGTTGGACAGGGCTCTCCACCAACTTAATCGAAACACCAGTTGAGGGAATATCTTTTGGAAGAACGGTGTACCATTCATCCAGTACAGTTCCAGAGACTTTTAGAATCTATACCAAGGCATATTGAAGCTGTTCTGGTGGCTTGTGATGGGCCAAGACCTTACTAAGCCATTTTATGTTTATATTTCTTTAATTTGTCAATCATCTGTGCATGTATGTTGAACAGCAAGCTGAGAAACTTTACGCACCACAAAACAGTCAGTCAGCAGAAATATCTCAACAGAGGATTGCATCCATAGTCATAGCTCTTATCTTCTGAAGTCACTGAAACTACAGCAGCTGGTAGAGGACACACAGAGCGGAACCGCCGTCTCCAAACGTCCATTAACTGGTCCCACAGAACGCAATTAGAGCTGCCATTTTGATTGAGAGTGCACATGGCTGCCTGAATGAGAAACACTATCAATGTTTAATTAGCCTCCTGCCGCGCCCGCAGCCTCCAAATATGAATCACAGTCTTATCAGTCAAAGGACATACTTACACTGAACAATCTGCTCGGAGCCTGGAGGGGGTGCGTATGTGTGTGTGAGTGGGACAGCCAAAATAATAAAAGCAGCAGGCAGCATGTACGTATATATCAGTGCCTTTTGTCACTGGGGTAGCTTCTGTAAATACGTTTTTGAACGTCTACGGGGAACTGGACCATTCTTCACGTCAACCACGCTCACTATCATGTCCAACAGCTGGAAGCAGATTGAAGGCTTCCTTTAGCACTCTTAGTAAGGAAATGAAGACCAAAAGAAAAGACTTTCTCGCACTGAAATGATGAAAAAAGAAGTTTGAAATGAAATAACAGCTGTGTGAATCTCATGATGCAAAGTTTGGGTTGAAGCTAGTCTTCCTGGGCTCCTGAGTGGCGCAACCATTGGCCCTATCATCAGGGGTCGCGTGATCGAACCCTGGTGATGCTACAGCTGTCTGTGGCCGGGAGTCCAAGACAGCACAATTGGCCTTGCTCTCTGGGTGTGTAGGATGGCCGCCCTCTACCCCCAAGTCAGCATAGGTGTCTGTCAGCTGACGTAACAGATCTGGCAGTTGTCAGGTCAAGTCAAGTCAAGAGGCTTTTATTGTCATTCCATCTACATACAAGTACACAGTGGAGCGAAATTACGTTCAAGGTGCAACATGGAACAACATAGACAGTACAGACAAAGAGCAAATGTGAGCACCACTTTGTTGTTCCGGAAGTGGCCACTGCAGCTACATGCCACGCCTCTGGAAGAACACCGGAAGTTGCTGCTTTCCTCTGGGAGTGTTCAGCTGTCCAATGACGTTGCATGAGCGGCAGTTTGAAAAGATGCAGTGGTGCTTCACAGGTCTCGGAGGAAGCCTGTGCTAGCCATCGCCCTCCTACCACTGGTGGTATTGTGTGATTGGGGGAGTCCTAACTAGTGGGTGAAATTGGGGAGAAAACTGGGGAAAAATCGAACAAAAAGAAGCTAGTCTTCCTAACGTTGCTTAATGTGGCCAAGAACCATTTACTATGAAAAGAAAGCCCATTTGACTGTCATACCATCGTGACATTTAAGTGACAATCCCATGAGAAATGTCAGAGAATATATTGCTTAACATCTGGTAAATACATCAAAGAAAAGTCTTAAAATGCTGTGAATATCAAATTTAGTGATTATCTCAGACCAATCTGGTCACCATTTTCCATCCTGGTTGGAGTCTCTTCTAAAATGACAATGCCTCCATCCACAGTCGGTCATGGCACACAGAGCAGGTAACTGCCTGCAATTGTGTGTTTACCATCGATAAAACGCAGTCACAAAACCTTTCCTTTATATTGTTTTTTTCCAAGAAGAAGAACTCTCCACAATACCAGCAAAGTACCAACAAAATACCAAAAATGTACTTCACCCTAGGTCACACTTCCGTGCACACTGACACTGTCCTTTAGTTCACTTCTAGGTTATTGTTCTGTGTTTGTATCATAGCGACTATGTTGTTTGAGTGCACACCCATTCTGGTCAGTGACCTTCAGCTTTCAACTTCTTCCTGCGTCGGCTTCCTTGTTTAAAATGTGCTGTCAATACTTCATACAAAAAAGCTTCATTGGTATAACTGTAAACACACTCTGTTTCCACTTAATAGCCTTCAGATTCTCAACACTGAAAGAAGAGTTAATGTTCCTTACAGA